TCCTGATGTAGCTCTCCAGCTCTGTAATGACTTCCGGAAACTGAATGATGTGTCTTTGTTTGACAGGCTGATAAAATAGTTTGGGCGGCCTGGTTCATCTCCAAAGTGGACCTCACCAAGGACTAGTGGCAGGTACCACCGATCTCAAAGGCTTGAGAGAAGACTGTGTTCAGTACCCCTAATGGACACTGGCAGTGCACAGTCCTCCCATTTGGGCTGTGTGAACAAAGGCCTGGCCAGACATATGCTGCAGTATTATGGGATGGCGCATTGGGTGTGCTGGGCAGAGTACCTTTGATGATGTAAAAGGGTCTGGATGATCTAAGGGTAACCAGGTTTACCAGTAACACCAAAAAGTGTATTCCTCTTCCCTTCCTTTACATGACTTGAGCACAGACCAGGGGGTCCTGACCAGGATTGTAACCGCTATCTTTGGATGCCCCCTCAGCCTGACCAAACCTGCACCTACCCCCGGATTTCCCCACAGCCCCAATGCGCCCCCGCATCTCTGTGGGACCCTACAACATTCTGTTCTATCGCCGGTCTTGTACAATGAATACCAGCTTCTCTGGGCGGAGCCCTGTGAAGGTTGCTTACATCCTGTAGTCAAAGCCTCCACAAGAGATTGTGATAAGATTCAGCTCGCTTCTGAAGTTACGCAACGACACTACAGTACATCCTGGCACATCAAGAAAAAAGAAAAGAAAAAAAAGCATTTTTTTTAATCAATGCAACGTGCAGCTTATTATAAAAGACAAGCTATCAACGTGCAGTAAACACACTCTTGTTTTTTTGTCACTAGCATGCTGTTTAGTGTTTTGCATGATTGTAGTCAACTACATTAGCAAATAATAAAAATGACAAAAAAACTCTACATTTAAATCTTATTGCAGTATGTCCTGAAAGTGAAAGTCTTGTTACCATAGAATCAGTGTTCACTATGGCTGAGAACGGTCTCCATGCCATATTTCCTGGAGGCTTATATCTCTTTAAATGTTTTGTTAGGCCCTCAGTGTGTGAATCCTTTATCTCCATCAGCCTGGTTGCCTTCATCTGTAGGATCTTCAGGAAGAGAGCTCATTAGTCTTAAAGTAATCTTATCCTTAGTAAGAGAATTTAAGTGACAGCCATTATCAAAATGTTATGAACCATTCTGGTAGTTTTTGTTATGCAGTTATTCTCATGGATTGTTGCTGTTTTTTCATGCCTTTCAATATTTTAATATATTTCAATATTGATTACCTTTCATGCACACATGCTTTGGTTGATTAATGATTGATATAACACAATTCTTCGAGATAGATTCAATTTGGTTTGTCAGAGCTCTTGGTTAAACAAATGAGTAAGTAAGACTGGGACACTGAGTAACAATGCACACACATTGTTAAATGCTTGCAATCTAACTTAAATACTTATGGTCAACTAGAGTGGCTGAAAATATTACCCTGCTTATGTTGGAAAAAGTAAGTCCAATGCAAATAATCACAATAATTAATGGCTCAATAAAATAATGAATAAATTTAGTTAGCCAGACTAATGAGCTACATTTTTGACTGATGGGAATGATTGTCTGAGAATTTTGTTTTTATATAATTAAATGTCTATTGTTTTTGCAATGTAACACTGACATAGTCACTGCCACTGATGAAAATGAATTCACATCCTCAGTAAACATTTAACAAACACTAGCACAATTGTTCCATCCTTGTGCTGATTATGGAATGATTGCTGAACACAGTGTTGACAGAGATCTTGAGAAAAACTGTGATGTTCAGCTTTGCCACCCTAAAAATCTTGTTTCAACACACACCCGGTAATATAAACGCAATAATCTTAGCCCTGACGTTAATGCATGTTGTATTGACGGAATTACACAATTTCTGATGAAGTCCTACTTGTGAAAAACATCAAACATATCAATATCAAACTATCCTGTTTCTTATTTCTGCTGTGTTACTTAATCCTGTAATAGCTCGGATGAAAACAAATTGCACAACCAAAAATCTTCTGAAGAAATTTCCTCAGCATCGTTTACCAAACCTTTCCTGTGTTCACAGAAATCGCTCTTACTGATCGAGACAAGTGTGTTTGCACAAAGCATTCAGATGCATTCAACTCACCTGCAGAGTATTTCAGAGTTGACACAATTTCTTTGTATGATGTGCGTAAAATGATTTTTAAAAAAAGCCAATTACTCAGTAATTATAGGTATTACTCATGTACAGATACACTACCAATTAAAACTATAGTTGTGTCACAGAAATAAGTTTGGAAAAACTGGATTCTATGATCGACTCAGAGTCAATGAAAATGGGGGGGGCAATCCAGCCACAAACAAGCCTCCCGATGCCTCTGTCACTGTACCACAAAATAATTGGAAATGACACTTATTCTATCACATGGTGTTAGCTGATGGTTCAGAGTTGACATGAGGCTCCGAAGGCTACTCAAAAGACATATTTGTACATAAAGGAAAATTCCAGCATGTTTCGTTTTCATGCTATTTGTCATTTTTACTGCTGCAGGAATCTGCAGGAATTGCAGTGATTGCTTTTAGGAATTGGATTAGCTTCAGTTCTGTGTTCTGTTTGATGCTGAGTATGACCGGTAGGTGTCTGTGCTAACATAAAATTTACAGAGACCATTTTATTATCATCTGGATCATTGTTAAAATTTTTACTTACCTTTTTTGCTTGGGCAACTCAAAGTCTAGTTTCTCATATACATATCCACTTTTATAATTTATTATTTCAGACAACTAGAAGCAGGTTCTGTAGGTTACCTGTTACTTGTAGCTTGGCGTAAGTGTTGCTGTATTACACTAAGCCCTAAGAAGACAAAAATCAAATATATGTCAATTTCTTTGGCATTATTCTATTTTGTTTTCAGTTATTTTGCAAATTAATGGGATAATTATGACAGCGTCATTGTATGTTATGAATGCATTATAATGTGTTATGAATGTGTTCTTATATATATCACTTTTAATAATATATATGTGCGTGTGTGATAGCCTGGGGTAGACAAAGGTAATTTTAAAACATGGATTTATTTTCATCCATTCTTTCCATCTACATAGGCCGACTTATCCAGTACCAGGAAGATACAAGTTTACAGTTGAATTTATTTACTTAAAAAGGTATGCAATGTAAAGACACATTTATGATATACAGGTCTCAAGAAGTTGCATCTAAACTAAGGGCTTAAAAAAGCATAAACTGCAAAAAAAAAAAAGGTTTTAACATACATTGCATGCAATCATCACACAAACAAACCAGCCTATAGCAATTCTTACATTTAGAACACTCAATAAAAAACAGAATAAATAAAATACAAAAACAGCTCATCTAAACAAGCTGTGTTCAGCACTGCTGACCAGAAAATTACAAGAACAATTCGGTAAACTACCAAATTAGACATTAAATAACATCAATAATAACATCAACAACAATCATAATATTTACACAAATGCATTCAAAGTTTTTAAAAGAGATGGATAGTTCAATGTTCATTTGATGTTTTCAATATGAACTTGCAGTCAAGGCTTCACATTTGTTCGAAGCGACATTAAGAAGATCATAAACATTATACTTAAATCTAAAAAATGGAAAAAAGCCACGTTTTACTTCCCAGTAGTTACCTTTATTTCAGGAGCTATTTGCAAAGTGCAGTACAAAAAAAATGTTACTCCTTTACATAAGGTCCCTCAAAGTACAAAACATAAAAAAAACAATGAAGATGACATCATCAGACAGCTTAAGGTAAAACAGCTGCTCCTCATTGCTTAGAAAAAATAAAATAAAATAAAAAATAAAAATGTTTCCTGAAGGCATCAATGTGAAATACTGTTCCTACATCATTATCAAATCCAGTCACCCACACAAACTTGTCCATGGTCAAAAGGTCTCTCCCGATTTCTGAATGAGTTGCAATCAAAAATTATTTTGTTGGTCATCAGGGGCGGTATGCATAAAACTTCTCAGAGTAAAATTTCACTCTTAAATGCGTCACAAGTCTAAGAGTGACGTGATTTTGCTCCTACTTCCAGACATAAGAATAAGTGGCATGCATAGACATTCTTAAGTGTTAAGACTTGGTCTCAGCTCCTAAATTATTTAAGAGAGCTGGAGAGGACTCCTAAGCCAGTTAGGAGCTGAATGATGGCAGCCGCACTACGCGCACACAGACGGAGACCGTGCACTTTCCGTCAAAGAAAAGACGTACTGCGGATTTACGATGATAACGAGTTCATAAAAAGATACAGGCTTGATCGTGAAGGCATTATTTTTGTTACCGACCTAATTAGGAACAGGATACAATCTCCTACGTCACCTAAAAATGCACTTACAGTTGAACTGAAGGTGATAATGATGCTACGTTTTTGGCAACTGGAAAAATATAATAATAATTATTATTATTATTATTATTATCATCATCATCTATTATAGCGAGGGTCATTAGAGCAACATAAGTAATGACACAAACCTGTAGCTTGCATGCTTGCTTTATAAACTGTGATTTCCTTTCGCGAAAGCATGCATAATAGAACATTATACCACCTTTTTTCACATTCCTTTCACATTTTTTGTCCGTGCTTGTAACAGCTGGGCCAAACTTTCGTCGCACTACCTCCTTCCATTTAAGCACCAACTGTGCCAAAAGAACCGTTTTGTTTGTCGTCCAGTTTGGTTTTCTTTTAGAATCCAATGTCTTGCTATGAGTTTTGCGTTTGACCCATAATTTATACAACATGTGCATCTATTAGTGGAAATTGATTGGTGGTGTGCTAGGTAGATTTTCGTACAACCAATTAAAGGTATGATCACAAAAAGGTATGTTGTATAAAGCTCTACATTAACGGTTTAATGTCACTAATATATTTACCGTGCAGCTCATCTATTGGTTGAACTCAGTATTTGGGGCGGGATTTTATTTGTAGTCCTCATTTCACGACACTTAAATGCTGGCTCCGTCAGCACTTAGGAATTGGGCTTAGACTTTGCTGAAAGTTACTTTCAGCATCTTTATACAATGCTCTTAGGTCCTACTTTTTGCTAAGATTTTTTAACTCTTAAGTCAAAGTGTACGACCATTCTTAAGACCATTCTTAGGAAGTTTTATGCATACTGGCCCTGGTCTTGGCGTTGGGAGTCAGTGCAGCCTTTTGTCCCGCAGACATACCATGTTAAACATCATTTTTATTATGCTCTGTTTTCACCAGAAACATATACAACAAACACATTTAGGCAACACTTCACTATTTACAACTGCGTTACTTCTGCCCCATCAAGTAAAGTGTCTAATTTCAGATTGTTTCAGATTAAGCTATCAAATTAGCACTTATAATTGATGGTGTTTCTGAGGAGTTGTGGATCCTGTAGGTTTTACTGGGGGTACTGGTGGCTTTCTGACCTGTAAATATACAATCACAGTTGTGACTTGCCATTTTACATACCTATGAGAACAAATCTAGGAATTAAAATGACTCACCGGATTTACATTTAGTGGCGGTAATGGTCTTGCTGGGGGTGGTGGCTTAACCTGTGGCTAAGATGAAGAGATTTAATTTATGATGTGCAACAAAATATCTGTTTATTTCATTATCTTCAAAGTGTTATTTTCTTAGTATCATCAGTAAGGAATAGTTAGGAATAAATATCCCAAACTGATACACTATTAATATAGTAATATAAACTACAGATATTTATGTATTTACTTGTGGATTTGTTACATTGTTTGGGGAAGCTGGAGATGGGAATGTTATGGTTTATTGGCTGAAAATTGAAATTGGACTAAATAATCGGCTAAAAGTTAACATTACTATAGAGCAAATTCCCCACAACCGTTTGTGTGATATGTAGTTTCTAAGGTCAACAGGTATAGAGTAACTGCAGTGTCTACTTTACTTATGGTGGTAGTAAATTTAGTGCTGGGACCACTTATCAATTTATCGATAATTATCAATAAACCTGGGAATCTGATAAGTAATTGTTATCGTTTTCGATAAGTCAAAGCTATTATATACAGCAACTTCAGTCCTGGTATGACTGAATAGACAACCCTGCACTGGCAGTGCCAGTGGGACTGAATGTTATTGTGTACTGACTACAACATGTCTACTCAAGTGTGAAAGTATTTTGACAATTCTGGGAAACTGAAAAAAGCAACTTCCCTTTTTAGGCAGTACAACCGACATAATGGATCATATGAAAACAGCCCTTCTGTTCCTGAGAGCAAAGCTAGAGTCGTCAGTGTCATGGACAACAATAGCTGCCATCTTATTCTGGGACACTGATCTACACTGAGCTGAAGACATGACAACGTTGTCAACGTTGTGGTGCATGGTTTGCCTATTAACATAGTCAAGAGAGAGTCACTCAATAAAAATGTTCCTCAGGCTATCGGCCACCATCTGTGTAGAAGGTGCTGAAATTACCGAGTGAAAGACATATGACAGGAAAACAAGATATGTGATATGTGGACAAGTCTATGCCCAGAAGCATATCTGTTCCCTGCCACCACATAACATCTGGCGGGGATTTCAAAACCAGCCTCTTGGCATATAGGAAATTTCCACAGATTAGCGGTTTTCTTTTCTTTTTTAGTTTTAGTCATCATCCCAGCCATAAGTAAATTAGCACTGCAGACTGGCCAGAGGTCTTCATTAATGAGTTCTTCATTAGTTGTAAAAGAAAATGTACTAAGTACAGACCCTATTAACACAGGTAAGGTCATAATAAATGTGAATCCAATAAAGACTGTGATATACTGTCACTCGAATGTTATGTTACTATAAGAGTCTGGGTACATAAAAACCGCACGGATAATAAACATTCCACAGCCATATATTATGCCAGAGTTGCAGTAAAACAAACTGTTTTACCTTGGGGGGTGAGTGGCTAGAAGCAACAGTGACAACCAATGGACTGCAGGCTTGAGTGACTGACGATTCCACAAAGATTGGCTGACTGATTTGGTGAATCCTGTCCCTAGAACTGCCATTCACAATGCCTTTGTGAAATAGTGGGTTTGTCAGACTCGAGGCACTGGGCACTTTTCTGCAAAACATTTATGGGGGAAAAAGAAACTTTAAATTTGAGACGTGGAAAAACAATACAAAACACAAATTACCGAATACAACAATTTTATCATCTACCCAATCAAGTAATTGACCCATAAAAGGGACATTGTGAAAAGTTGCTTACTTTTTAGTGAGGAATTCCGCTTTGTTTGTCTTTTTGTACCACATTAATCCTCCAATAACAAGCATAAGAGGTATAAGAATTCCCAGAGTTACAGACACCCCAACAGCCAAAGCACTCCCTGCGAAAGACAGCAGCAGAATGGTCATGTGTCGACCCATGTGACCGCACTTTCTTTTAGCCTTTTAGACTACTTTTAATTGATCTATTAACTGTGTATTTTAGCACAGCAGAACTGTACATACTAAGCATTAAAGGCAATATTGTCAAATACTTTAATTACATATATAGCCAAAAGATAGTAGATCGTGATGCCTCAGTTACTAGGAGCAAACGCAACGATGCCATGCATTGTGAAGGCTGACCTTGAGTGAGCTCAGAAAACTTGACATTACAGTAGGGCGGAGCCCAGCCAGGGTCACAGTGACACTGTCCTTCATGATTACACACCTAACAGACAGACAATGCAGTAAGTATAACCTCAAACAAACAAACAAACAAACAAACAGACAAATCATGTCATTATGAAGGAAAACTTCATTTAGTGCAAAGCTCACCCCATTGTCACTGCATTTTGCTGCACAGTTCTTGTTTCCGTACACTTTAATGTCTTGACACGCATTATTATAGCATACCTATAGACAGATTATGAACAGAAGAACTTTTTACTTTACCGTTCAACACATGAAGCTAAACCTACCTGGCATGGTCAATAGCATCCTACAATAAGTGTCAACAAACAAAAAATACCTTCGTACCTTGTTGTCTCCACATTTTGCACCTGTGGGTACCATACCAATGTCACTCGATTCAGTTTCCGGTAAAGCGACATGGCAAGATATCCCATTCAAATCCAGGTTTAACCTTTTCTGAGTTATAGGATTATTTCTGCTAGTGCAAAAGATTGTGCCACACTTCACATCCCTGGAAAAACAGTCTGGTTAGTATAAGTATCCACACTGAAGCAACTCTTTAAAACTTCACTATTCTGAATAGAAAAACATTAGATAATCCAGATCACAAAATTAATATGCAGTTGAAAAAACTTAAACTAGTTAAAAAAGGCAAACTCATACTGTAAGATATATTAATTTCTGTTACATTAATACACAAGCACACTTACTCTTTTGCACAGCTGAGGTAGCGATCTTTAGTGTTTTTGCAATATGCATAATATGAACCAGCTGTATTTTCTTCAAAGCACAGATCGCTGCCAACTTGTGCATCTGAAGGATTACAACAACATTATTAAAACAATGTCATGTAAACAAATGTCTTTATAAAACAATCTACAAGTCTAATAAAAGATTGAAAAATTTGACATATGTACTATATGCATATACATTCATCCATTTTCTGTAACCACTTGTCCTATTCAGAGCCATGGGGATGCAGAGCCTATGGGAACAGGGCAGGGGACAACATAGGATGGGGTGCCGACACATCACAGGGCAGGGAACAACATAGGATGGAGTGTTGACACATCACAGGGCACACACACACCATTTATAGCTACAGACAATTTAGTAACTTCAGTTAACCTTAGCATGTTTTTGGACTGTGAGGGGAAACTGGGGAACCTGGAGAAAACCCCATACACATGGAACCCTGGCAGAGACTCAGCCCTGGCCCCAGAGGTGTGACACAACAGTGCTAACGACTGCGCCATCAGTTAAGAGTGTTCAAGAGTCTTGCTCAAGGGCTCAATGGTGACACCCCGACGGCTGACTTCCTGATTTGAACCGGGTCATGCGTGTCCTGATTTCACCGAGTTCAACGTGTCCCTGGGTCAACATTGTATGACATCACCACATGCAGTGTTTTCTGATTAACCAGCAAGGTGCACACATTTGTAAAGTGCCCATTTTATTTTGTATGCCTTTTGTTATATAGGACCATGCTTAGCTGCAAAGGCTGTCATGATAATAATGGTGACAATAATAGTGATAATAACAATAATAATGACAAAAAGGCTTGAACTTCCAATCACAGGCACAGAGGCTTAGCCTGCTGAACCACACACTGCACCCGGCTTGATGGTTGTAAGCAGAGAGTTTGAAAATCATTAAAAAATGCATGAATGTGGTGATGTCATATGACTGTGATTGGCTAAAGAAGTGAAATGCAAGCCCCTCCCTTATTGACCCAGGCGCACTTTGAACTGGCAAAAACAGGATGTCCAGCTGGCCACCTTCTGATCAGAGGCACTGTATTCTAACCTGCTGAGTCACAAAATGCCCTACATACAAAAAGAAAGCAAGTCACGTCTGTAGGTACCTGAACCCCACAATCGTTTGCAGTGCTGAAGGAGCGTTGGGCATTGACCATTGTAGCAGTACCCTTGGTTGAAGTTGCAAGGAATCCCATTCATCTTAAACACATTCTTTGGACATTCTGCTGATGTGCCCGTGCAATATTCCTCCAAGTCACAGTCATTTGCAGATTTTCTGCACAGGCTTCCGGAACGCTTGAGCTTTTAAAAAGGAAGGAAGATATTGTGTTTCCTGTAGTTAAAGCCTGCCACGCTTTTTAGTTCACAGCTAAATGCAATGCTCTAAATACATTTTGCAAAACTTGAAAAATGGAGACAAAGAGGGGCTACCTGGCAATTCTCACAGCACCCTCCAGATGCACATTGAGATCCTTTAGTCAGTCGGCATGTGGTGGCGTTACAACAGGCATTATTGCAATCCTGCAATGTCCACGGTTCAGAAATCAGGGGCAGTGAAACACATTGCACATTGATTCGAAGTCTCAGAACAGGGCAGTCTCACCTGCGGGGTGCCGCAGTCGCATTCCTCTCCTGGCTCCAGGTAACCATTGCCACAAATCACGGGGCCTGGGTTATTCAACAGGCATCGAGGGTTATACTGCTGTAGGAACTGACTCAGCTCAGTTTTACTGCAGCTGCTGAATGTCTCTGGGAAGATGGATCTGAAAATTATAATGCAAGAAGCAAATTAAAGGAAACCTACAATCACAAGATTTAAAAAGTAAAATAATTAAGCACTGAAGGCTGAATAAGTAAATAAATAATTACTGTAACTATCTAAATAGCAGTAATTGACAAGTCAATAAGTAAATACAAACTGATTTGATTAAACACAGAAAAAAACACCGTACAATATGTTGTTAAACACTGTATGAGATGTTTACGCTCACAACACAGACAGGAAGCGTGGCGGTGTGGATCCTGCCATCGCTTGGTCGCAGTAGAACGTATCGTACAGCATTTCATTAGCCAAGTCTTTTAAGTTGACTACTGAATGTTCATCACTATCACACCATCATAAAATAAAAGTCAAACCATCTTAAAGCGAGAAGCATTTGTGTGTGTGTACATATATATTTTTATTTTATTGGTCATCCACTGTTGTTTAGGGAAGCAAACATCTTACCCAACACGATCTGCCATAATGCAGTTTCTATTGCCTGATGATGTGCCACAGGAACAATCAGAAGTGTCATGTGACAAACCCAAGTTGTGACCCATCTCATGCGCAACTGTCGAAGCTACACCAATAGAATTTACATGATGATCCTTAAGGGAAAAAAACAGAATCATTAGGCAACTCTTTTACATACTATTATTTGAATAATAATAAAAAAAAAAAATAGAAAATCATCAACTTCTGGATTCATGAGTTTAGTCTTGTGTGTGTATGTATATTATATATAAGCCCAAATACCTGATTCACCGCCCCAGAGCCGTATTCACACATTGCAAATTTGTTTGCCAAACCCACAGTATCTCCATCAAAATCAATACCACTGTGAAAAGAAGAGGAAGAATCAGCCAAATAATGAAAGAATATCCAAGCGTGCACTTTTGATGTGCTGCTGGTTCAATTGAAACTGATCAAGTAAAACACCTCTCATTAGGCAGAAGACATGGCTACATTAAACATTTTCATTGTTCAGACTAATGTATTTAATGTGTAATTTTCTCTATCTTAAAGAATTTTTATTTGCATTAAATAGGAACAAGAAAAGATGTCAGAACAGGTATTTTTAAATACAACTAATATAAATAACTAAAAATAAATAAAACCTTATTTTTCTTTAATGCTTGAAGCATATATATCATATAAATAGGTACTCACGTGACAAGTTGTGCATTGTCATGTTTTCTCTTATTGATAAGGCTGTTCTGTCTCCACTGGAGAAAATTTGTCAAGGTTGTGTCAGGATTAGTGCTGACATAAATCTTGTCCATGTGAGACCAAACCTCCAGACCTACTAACACTACATGAATGTTTAGAGGGCGATACAGCTGAAACGACATACATTGGGTGGCAGTTAGAGCCTTGCTACGCAATGCTTACATCATTCAAAACTGAATTAACTGAATTAAACACACTCATCCAAACACAGATGACAAATTATAAGTCTGGATGTTACCTTGTCAACATGATTTACTACTTCCAGCATTCTTGCTTTTACTTTTTCCATCTTCCCATCACATTTTCTATACTGAAACAAAAAACAACAAAAATCTATAAAGAGAAAAAAAACTTTCACAAAGACATCACAGCATACAAAATCCATCATTGGATCCTAAATTTTCAAAATAATTATCAAAAAAAGTACAAACCTCTGCATTGTCAGCCACCAAAAACATCTCGACAAATTGTTCTCCATTGAAAAGTGAATTGCTTTTCTAAAAAGGAAGAATTTAAAAAAAATGTAAAAGCACATGAATAGTATTGAAAGAAAATATTTCAAAAGATGTTTTTCTTTCGACACTAGTTTAATGATGGTTGCTAAGGTGCCGACTCAGAGTAACACGCAGGGCAGCTTTTTGAGCAATGTTGCTTGGGCCCTTTCCAATTAATATTGGGCAACAAATTTCTGTTTGAAAAACTGTGACTGGCAGTGGGCAACTTTTTGTGATGAGCCAGATCCAAATTACCACCTGGTTGGTAATTGCTAAGCAACACTGCTTAAAAAGTTGCCCTGTATATCATCACCTTAAGTTACTGCTGACGTCCAAACTCAGCAAGTTTAACCGACTACGGCGCCACAGGGTCTATGACCGACACTGATCTGTACATGTCAAAGAAGTCGGTAACAGTACCCAAACACTGGGCTTAAACATCCCAGAGACTCTGGGCCCATGGTCATAGTAAGTATTGTTGTAGTGACCACACGAGGATCTCTTTCTTCTCAGATGCTCTTCTTTGTAAATGGCATGGTCGCCCTCTGTGAAGTTGGCCAAAGGTTCGATGAAGTATACTGTCTGCTTAGCCCTCACGAAACCCCTGCAGCGTGAGGACAAGAGACTTATGGTAGGATGCCACACTTTTAACTCCTGTATCAGAGGCATACAGAGGCCGGATTCAGGGACATCAGCTAACTCTTGTGAAACAGAAATGATGGAATCTGCTATTAGCTAAATAGTACAGGACTGCATCTTGCTGAAGAAAACAAAGTAACAATCCATATTGATAACATAAAAGTGGAAATATAGAATTCCTTATTAAATCCATTGTCACGCAATGTCACATGTTTTTTCTCATTGTTTCAATGAAATATAAGATTATAATGCTCTTAAATAAAAATGAAGCAAGCATTTTAACCCCTTGTTTCATACTATTAAGCCACCAAATTGTAAAAAAAAAGCATTTAAGAATTTAAGCATTTTATTAAGCTACCAAATGGTAAGGAATGTCAGACGCATTGTTAGAACATTGCTTTAAAAATGTTATTTAGTACATCAATTTCTGTAATATTTAAACAAATAATATGTTAATCATATCTGTACCAAGGTTTTCACAGTTTGTGAGCTTTTATAAAGGCTTCTATAATGAACAACTGGTTCCATTTGAAAACTGCATAAAAAACAAATATCTAGCAGTTGTAGGTCGAATGTATACATCCAATTTTTAATCTCACTTGGGGCTACTACCATACAACAATATATAACCGATAATCAAAATACACACCTCATTCCAGAGCACAAGCCCACACTAACTGCAGAGTCTTTAATATCTTGAACGTCCCCATGATAATAACAGTGGTCCTACAAGAAGATGCATTAGTGTGGCAGATTTCTTACATGAAGAGCAAAAAACCACTAATTATTTAGATGAAGCTAATTTAATATAGATATCAAATAGAATAGATACTCCTGGCTGAAGAATGGATGGATTGTTTATTGCATAATAAAATAACATCCATACCTCATCATTTGGTAATACTGTGACTTCAGTTCCATTATCCAAATAGTATGTTTCTGTATAATCCTTTCCTAACAGAAACCTAAAAGTTTAAAATGGTTGATAATTATTTGATTGATTCAAGTTAAGGTTACTGTAAAAATGACATAATTAACGAACACCTTATCTTCAAATTATAAGACAGAGTTATAATAAATGTATTTCTTGATTAAAAACCAAAATGAATAAAGCCAAACTTTTCTCTATCACAGATAGATATATATACATATTATTTAAATACTCATTCTTTTCACAAGACACGTAAGATATTTAATAGAACAAAATCTTACCTGTTTTTTTCCAGGTTGAATATATAGTCTTCTCCCTCAATAGACAATGCATACCGCAGCTTGTCTGGATATTCCTGCATAAGAAGCGGTCAAATAGGTCCAGATTGTTGTGTCTTTTTAGTTTAACTCGTCTACTCTTGAGGCAAAAAAGCATGCAGGAACGGCCGCCCTAAGTAGTTAAACCGGTATATAAACAAAATATAGATATACGTAACATATATATATTTTTTAAGTAATAAAATATGTTCAATGGGTCAATATGAGTACGAAAAAAAACTTAAACACAAGCATATTGTGGTCCATGAAAAGGCCCTCTGGGAATAGAACCTCCGCAACAGGAAACGCCCCAATACTCATTTTCCCATCATAGAAACATTTGTGTGAATACGGCTCTTGGGCTTAGATTCTGCTTTTTATCTGGTAAGTCGTAGTCAACGGTGGCTAAATAATAATAATAATAATTATTATTATTATTATAAAACGGGAAGAAGTTACGAAAATCCACACTTTAAGGACGCGTAATGTTGAGTAAGAATAAGGTAATCCAGCCTCCCAGTATCTAAATTAAAACCACGCACCTTTTCCGAGGACAAGTTTCGTTTGGCACGAATGGCGAGTTTCTGCGGTCTGACAACAGTGTAGTCCTTCACATGAGAAAGCCTGCGTTCACTTGTGACGAATGAACCTGAAAGTATCTTAAGGCATTAACATAGAACACTAACGTAGATATATCCATTCAGCTTAACATATCCCAAAGTAGGTACACATTTAAATACATTCATGAATATTGCGTTTCCACGCAAAAAATACGGGGCACTTTCAATACACCACGTACTAATTTGCTTACCTACAGATACAATCACTAAAAATAGAGTAATATCCAAGGAGCACAAGCGCATGGTGGCAGCAGTTAGCGGCTCAACGCCGTCAGTACTGGAAGGCAGCGTGCCTACAGTTTCTTCATGATTAACATAGGAACCGTGATCTGACCGTCCAGGAAGTTACGGGCTGTGACTCACTTCAGGAAGTCGCTCTGCTTCCAGTATTTTTTTCCCCAAGTTAGCTTCAACTATTAAGATACATTTCTGTGAACTATCATGTCTGAAGGGGGCACATGAGAGAGTTTGATTTGGGGGGTGCAACTTAGTCATTTAAATGATGCAAACGTCTTTTTTGAGGGGGGGGGAGGGGGATACAAAATGAATGTAAATGAAGTATTGGGGGATATACATCCCTGTCCCTCCCTGTTCCTACATATAACAGGGGTGATTTTTGCTTACAAGGTGGGATGAGGCTAATGACTTCGTTAAACATTCATAGCTCCAGAATTCAAAGTCAAAACAAAGCAGGACACCTGAAAAGTCAAGGTTCACTTTGAAAATCCCATGATACTTTTGTATGAATATACAGTGCGAGTGGTCGTTTATAATTAAACAGTTCTACACTTTAATAACAATTAATACAGCAATTAAGCATCCAGGTCCACATTGGTATTGAAAATTCTGGGCTGCTTATTTATGTCAGGGTAGAGCAATAAATTCTTATAGCACAATGTTTAATTTCTTAATCAAACAAAAACATGTATGATCCATCTCTCAATATTGATAAAAGTCTCTTTTAATCACAAGGCATGCTCAATAGCTAAGCTTGATTTACGAAGTTAACTATAAAGTACATGTTTTGGTAGGACACATAAATATTTTCGAGACACTCAATCAGCAGACTTCATGGAGGTTGCATACTATGCTAAGCAGCTGCCTTCTGACTTCTTTCGATGGCCATTCGCTCTAAGCGTTCTGTGTAGAATCCATTGAAATCCAGCCTGTGAGGTCAAGACATTTAATTAATGACCAGCATTGACGTTTTTTGTTTTTTTTTTAAACAAAATTAATTGGAGGTTAAGGAGTGAATGTGTACCTGTAGATTATGTTGATCATACTGTGCTCACAGTCATTAGTGCTGTATATGCTCAGTTTATCCAACAGGTCCAGCAACAAGCTACTGAAGTTAGAGTCAAACTTGCTGATCGTTGCTTCGAAACCAGAGTCAGACTGCAGAGCATCGACGTGCTCTGCCAAGAACTGAAAGGGAAAAAAAAATAATTCAGGAAATCTCTAGGGGTGTGCTGTCATTCAAGGAGAAATTTCTACATGGGGACTCACCTTGGAGGTGAGTCTTTTCTTCTCTGCCTCTTCAGTGCGTTCATTCTTTGTGGGGGGGCCGTCCATCGTGCCATGCTCAAGAGTGAGCCGTTTCATTTCGCTGTCCACCCTCATGCTCTGAGTGAACCGCTGCGACAACAAAGTCAAAAATCAACATGAAACTCATTCACTTGGCAAACTACTGGCAGCCAACGCTTCTGTCCTCTTTCCAGAACTTCCAGTGCATTATGAGAAACAGCAAAATGTAAACTGAATGCATTAAAAACAAAGCACCTGAAGCCGCTCCTTGACGTCTACGCACCTGCATGCAGTTTGTGAACATGACGCACACGGACATTAGCTTCGAGAAGATCTTGAGGAGCTCAGGATTGGTCAACATGCAGTCTTTGAGGCAGTTATCCAGAAAGCTGGTATGATGGCACAGGACGTCATCGATGTTTGACGCCTACGGGACAGAAGATACTATGTGTAACTCTTCTAACTGGGGACCTCCTGCAGGAGAGATTAATATTGTGTAGTTACAACTTCCAAAAGTAAGTCTAAATCAATCTTCCTGTTGGTTTTTCTATGTCACAGCTGCCTGTACAGACAATGTAGATGTGAATGAAGTAAACTGCAATAAAATGAGTAAAACATGCAGCTTGTGCTTACAGATTTCAGGTTGTTTTCCATATTGTGCCACGTTGGCTCCATGACTTCAAACATCATGTAATACTGAATGTTCTGGACAAAGTTCAGCATCCGCTGTCTTAGCGCAAAGGCTGTAGCGAACCTATACAGAGGAGGAAAAAAAAAAACATTAAAAAAGACTGATATAGGATAAGTTTACAACACACCACTGTTTATCTGGTAATAATTACTGCACCAATACGTAATTTATTAATGTTGCACGCAGGATTTTCTAAACACGAACTTATCTGACATCTACTGTTTATGTATATAGCTACGGAACTTAATAGTTATCCAACGAATAAAGTGTATGCATTCATCACCGTTTATTCTTTCTTAAATGATACTAAATTGTATTTAGACTCACCACTTGGCTGAGTGAAGAGAATACTGGTTAGCTGCTTTGTTGCTAATCCACACGTTGCACAACAGTCTTTCCACATGCTTACAGTAAAACATGTGTCGGAACAACATCTGATACCTGGTCAGGGCCTTCCTGTAATTATGAAAATAAATGGCAGCTTTGTGGTACTGGGGTCTTCAATAACCAGTGCTGAAAAATGCAGTTCCTGACATGGTCGTTATCTTTAAACATTATTTTTGCATATATATTGTTTCAACACTATGCATAAGAAAAACATTGAAAATGTGTTGAAATTGATCCGGAAGAGAATTATGAACGGCTGGATCGTTCCAGAGAACCAGCAAGTGGCACACACTATGCACCTGTTGATAATGAGTGACAGCGGCCATTTGACAATGTAATCGAACGAAAAGGCCTCCAGGCCACTGAGAGCGACATCCGTTGGGTCGGCGTTGATAATCGCCTTCTCCTGCTTGGTCTCGATGGCCAGGACCCGCAAGAGTTGTGTGATGACGTCATGTGGCATCAAGTCGATCTGTAAAAATCAAAAACAACAACTACGGTACAAAAATCAGATAAACTCACACACTGTAACACCTATTTGGATAAATTTGTGTCTTGAAAAGGGATTTTTAAATTTGGTGATATATTAAAATTAAAATTATATAATAAAATTCCCACATGTTTTCTCCTATATTTGACAATAGCCTCTGCTAACATGATCACAATGAGAATGTCAACGTGCTTCATCATTTCCTGTGTGCTTAAATCAGTTAACAACTTTTCTTCTGACAGGAAAGTCAACTTTTACTGGTGAAAAACAAACCGTTCGTTCCAGAAGTGTCACACTGCAAGCTACCTGGCGCACCCATGTGGACAGTCTTGGAACTCCTTCTCCCTATTAATTTCCGCTAAGAGTACCAAAGGCAACCAGTGCTACGGTATACCTAGCTTTTGTATTATTAAGGAACATTTCAATAAATTGTTCGCCAATCCTGGGGGAAAATAACTGACCAAGCACAATCAAATCGAGCACCTTCAGGTCATCTTTAAATGGGTCGGTGTTTGCAGTGCTCATCCTCAGAGCCAGCTCCAACAAGGCTTCCAGTCTGGGTGGAATGATGTCATCCACTTGTTTTTTCAGTTCCTCCTCGGTCAGATCCATAAAATGAACGAAAAAGTCTCCCTTGTCCATTAGGAAGTAGTGCTTAATCGATCTACAGAAGAAAGCAGAGCTGAATCTCAGAAGGAGGGCCAGTCTTAATGTAGACAATGTCATTTCCTGTGCCAGTTCAAACCCCAGGAGTACAGCCAATACATAATATCATCAAGGGTAAATTAACTTGAATAATTTTAGTAAACACACAGTATGTGAAATAGGAAATGACTGACGTGAATAGAACATACTTAAGAGAAAGCTTAAAGAAGCATAGGATGATAGGCACTAAAACAAGATAGCATTAAAATAGCATTAAAACCAGATAATGCACTCAAAGATGTAATGCAATAAACCTATCTCACAAGAGCCCTTTACCTGAGTCTTGTCACGAGCTCCTTCTCTTCCATCAGAAAGCTGAGGAGGACCTTGCTGGCATAATTATAGGCCTTTTCAATCTGCTCAACGTAGGCTCTTTCCTTCAGAGTGTACAGGACCTCTTTGGCATCTGGGCACGTCACATCGCGACCGCACTCCCTCACCACATTCAGATACTTTCCTTTACCACACATTATAGAATGACAGAAAAAGATACAAAGTTTCCATTGTTTATTGCTAACATTGTTAATGTAATATCACTGATAGAAGAACAACCATGGCAAACTGAAAAGGTAGATTATTGATCTCTAAATGAAAGATTTATGGGTCATTCCATTGTAATTCAACAAATGGCCTTTCCATTACCATTTCTGAGTTTGATTAAGTTTGGCATGCAAATTACACATACCTTCCAGAGCTCAGAAATGTTTACAATAAAACCATTAAAACTTTAACAGTAGGAAAGATACAGTTCACAAGAAAACACATCGTTTTTTTTGGGTACCTGCGGTGTGTGATTCACAGGCCAAATTTAATCAAAATCAAAAATGGTGGCGCTAAAACTTTTTTGGGAATTTCTGAATTAAAATGGAATATTATGGAATGATCACACACACACACACAGATACAAACATTGGAAAAAAATTAAGAGACCACTCTATATTTTAAGACATCTGCATTTTTAAATCCTGGTTTAGTCCTGGATCTGCTGGCAGAAGGCTATGCTGAGCAGCAAGTTGCTTCCAGGTCCAAAATTTCTAAGATAGCAGTACACAAGAATAATGTGAAGCAGGAGACACTGGGAACGACCAGAAACCAGCCAGGTAAAGGGCAGAAGCTCCTAGAAGCAGGACTGAAGTCCCAGAAAGCAAGGAAGAAGCCCTTCATTATAGAGAAACAGAGAAAGAACCAGGCTGCAGTTAGCAGAAAATGTGTATTATCCACATACGTACACCCAGAAAATGAGAAATGAGTGAAACAAAAAATTGTGCGGTGGTTTCTTAATTTTTTCCATAGTTGTGTGTATATACACATGAGCATACACAACCACACACACATACACACACGCGCACGTGTGCACACACACACACACACACACACACACACACACACACACACACATGCGCGCAAACACACACACGCGCGCAAATACACACGCACATGCATGCCCAAAAACTAGCACTAACCTGTGCTTAATATTTTGTCGGCCATCTTTTGGAGGAATGATGGGATTCTGTGCTGCACGATTGTATACCGCTGATCCCAGTACTTATCGTTATAGTCCTCCTGAATCTTCTCCTTCTGAAGCTCATGCTCTTCCACCATAAATTCACTAGTGAGACAACAATTCAGGACAAAAAGCTTGTCAACAACAAAAAAATACCTTAATACTCCAAATAACTCAGTTGTGCAATTATGGCACAAACGTAGCTGTGAACTAATATCATATTGACATTTAATGACAGCCAAGCTCAAAAGATCTGCTGTAAATAAACGGACTCAATACCTGTATGGGTCTTTAATGATGCCCCTGTAGATCCACTTCTCGAGTATCTCAAAGTAAGGGACGCTAGCTGCTTTTGTGAGGTATAGGCACAGCTCCTGGGCTTGATTGTCTCCGGTGTAGTTGAACGTGCGGTCATGGAGAAGGCTTAATGTGGCCCCTCCCATGCAGTCTCCTTTGTCAACAGAGGTGGCTGGGAAGGAACCAAGAACAGACAGCGTTAGCGAACGCTAAGGTCAAGTGCACATGGTGCTCTGCATACAGACAGCCAGGCTTACCGATGGAAGCAAGGATCTCCATGGTTCTCATGGTTGGCTGAATATAAAACCACATCTTCTGAAGCGAGAGCAATCCCTGCCTGTGGAGGTGCTCCAGCTGCGTTACCAGAATCAGGTACTCCTTCATCAGCGTCCTCATGGCGGCCGTGAGGGCGTGATTCACCTGGCCGTACTCGAAAGACGACTTCTCCTCTATAAAGCTGCGTGAGAGAAATCACAGGATAATAGAAAAAAAAAGTAATGAATTTTAAACAAACAGGATAGGATAGCGGTGGTGGCTTAATGGTTAGGGAAGCGCACTTGTAATTGAAGGATTGCTGGTTCGAATCCCCAACCAGCAAGGCACCACTGAGGTACCCTGAGCAAGGTACCGTCCCCAAGCACTGCTCCCCGGGCGCTGAATTAGTGGCCTCCTGCTATGTCACGATGTCACACATGGGTTAAATGCAGAGGACATTTTTTGTTGTTGTGCTGTGGTGTGTCAACAATGATCACTGATCACCTAATTCTAATTCCTGTCTATTATTATCTCAAATATATTTTAAAAATGCAGCAAATATGGACATGCCCTGCTATTTAACTCAAGCTGCAAATTGGAAGTTTTATGGTAACATGTATTTGGGGAATGTGGTGAAATTCTTGTGCCACAGTTGAGGGGTATGAGAGCGGGTGCACGAGGACATGGGGGGACAGAACAAACCGCAGTGCAATAGAGGACTAGCCTGTGCAGTATAAGAATTCATAGATGCAATAATAAATAAGTAATGCGATACAGAGATGAGATAGTTATACATGATGCACAAATAATACAATATTGTTGAGAAAGTGCAGGTAGTACACAGATTAATCGACAGTAAGCTGAAGCGGGTTTAAGGGGCCTTCTATGTTCGATATCTCAAATATAATTCCAAATTCCTTACCGGGTAATCGTGGAGTAGCTGGCTGCAACTGGCAAGATCCTGTTCACAAGCTCCTTGACCGACATGTCTAAGGTTGGATCGATGATGAAGGAACGACTCTGTCGACCCAACACGGGCTGTGCTACAACGTCCCTCCCATCGACTCCTAACAGCACATATAACAGGTCTTCAACCAGCGCTTGTTCCTGGGCCGCCAGCGGCATGGTACCTGGGAACACGTGAGACAGAAAGTTAAAACCATGGCGTAAAAACTACCTTCTACTTTCTCCATCATTCTGCTTTTAAATGTGTCACGTGAGAGACCGGCGGCCTGCAGTATTATACAGGTTCCCCAATGGCACTGCAGCAAATTTAGCTCCTAGGAGTTCCATTTATTTTATTTTTTTTTAAAAGAGAAACTGAACAGCGTAGGAGAGAAATACTTACAAAGGAAGTGCAAAGCACAGCTGAAATGAGGCCTGTACTGAAAGGTCCCAGGCAGCTGGCCCTTTAAGAAAGGAGTTATGAACACCTAAGACACAGGAGCACTCACCTACAGCATGAGCTGGATCGATGACTGCAGGCACGCCAGTAAGGAAATCGCCGATAAGTGCAGGTCTTTCATAAACCCAGTTCGGAAACACAGGATTCAGCATGGTGGGGTTCTTCTTATTGTGTCTTTCCCTCAACATCTTTCGGGTGACTTCAGCCGACTACAAGGAAGACGGTTTTTAAACGGCAATGCATCAGATAAAGGGAAACCAATGCACTGACTGACATCTGGCAGCTTGGGTGCAGATGCAGTGGTGACACGCCACAGAAACAGTGTGATGCCATATGACTGCAGTGCACCTGCTGGACTGTTGAGCTGGCCGTGGCAGTTCCGAGCTTCTTCCGTAGCTCCTCCAGCTCCTGCATGGACATCTTAGTAGAGGTTGAAGGTATGGTGAAATTCGTGCTACTGCTGGCTGCAGTGTTGGAGGACGTCTCCGATCGCTCCTTTGCATTTTGCTGCAGGCAATGCAGGGTCTGGGGAAAATATAGGTGATGTAGATATGTCCGGGTAGATTAACCCTTTGATGGCATGTAAATAATAGTGGTGTCAAAAATGACTTATGCAATAGCATGTTATTTTCCCAAAAATCCAGCTGTTACCTCTTTATCCTCTGTGAGTTTTGACAACAAGTAAACCAGGGGATCAAGGTTGCGGGCATTCTTTGACTTAATTTCCTCATACTTCCTCAAGAAGTCATCCGGGGTTTTCGAAAACTCTGCGATTTTCACCTGATTAATATAAAAGATCATGGGATAGGGGGTGTCAGCAAGATATGCATCTACACATTTATGATTCATTTCACAAATAAGCACTATTTGGTCATTTTCCCTAAACACGGAGCAGAATGAAGGCCATGCGCGTGCTTATGCCCTTACCTTCGCGCTGTGCGCCGACACCGTGGTGGTAACATAAGGAGTCCTGTTTTTCTGCAGTAAGTCGATGTAGACTTCAGCTCCGTCGCCTCCTCGTACGTGGAGCAAACTGAGCAGCTCGTTGACATCGTGATGTATTCGGAACTCACTCATTTTCTTCAAATGGATAAAATAAGATTGGGAGCATTGTTAAGCCGCTGGGTATTCAACAACTGACAAAACTGAAAGGCAAACGGACTCGAAAAACGGAAATCAGCGGTAGCATGTCTGACATCTCAATGGCTGGGTAACTGCAGACAGCTAGCCATGGTCCGCTATAACGCATACGGCCAGTATTAGAAGACAATCGAGCTGATTTAAACAGTGCATAAAACTTTGTGTACTACATAATATCTGTGTGCCAACACTATTAATGCAAACAGATAATTAAATATATTAAAAACGATATCTCGTGATGACCTAATTAAAAATCAGTAACAAATAATGCAATTCTCCTAAACCTAAACTGTACAGACATAAAACATTCAGAAAACGTGATAAATTTATATAAAGTAGTAGAGATGCTTACATTTCCAATGCAAAGGCCAGTAACGTTACCACTCAGCCAGCAAGGCACATCCCACCGACAGCTCTTGAGCGCGAACGCTAAACAAAACACATGGTGCAGACGCTATCTCGCTCCGCCGACAACATGCTGCCCCTTTCAAAGGTTCCGGGTATCAATATTACGGTTTTTTTTGGTTTGGACAAATTCTCAAATGAAAATGGTACTTCTCATAACCACATATGTAAACGGAAACGGAAAACACTTTATTGTCATTGTAATTTACATTAACAACGAAATTCAGTTGGCAACTCTCATTTAAGCAGCAGCGATATACATATATAAATACAAGAAAGTACACAAATTAAAAGTTGTAATAATAATAATAGTAATAATAATATGCACAGTAGAGAAATAATTGCAATAAAGGAATACCCAATCAATTAAAAAGAGAGCAAAAAGTGCACATCATTAAGTCAGTTTCTCACAGAATGTAATTTCTCATTGGTTTCCTTCATGCACAAATTATTTAGCTTTGGTTTTTGTAGAATTAGGTATATTCACTTTGAATTAGCCCCCAAAATCAGTTGTATTAGTCATGACGCAAAAATGAACTATATTCTTCTCGTTTGTTTACTGGACAACCCATGATGTAGAATTGGTCTTCTTCTTTCCAACATAACTACTTAAAACACTGGGTTTATTCTTACCGTAACATATAACTTTTTATTCAAAGCTTCCAGATATAGAGAAATGATAGTCAAGTAAACTGTAGGCACTGCATGTGCGTGCGTATGCATATTTCTTTTTCATATGCTACCATCTGCTGTTTGAATTTGGCAACTACGTTTTCAAGCGCCACTACAGAACAAGGACAGTGTGTTATTCATAGCAGCTATTCTTAAGTAAGGATATATAATAATAATAATAATAATAATAATAATAATAGCCATTCTAATACAAAAATCCATAATGTTTTAGACGGTTATTTAAGTAGAATGTAGAATGAGTAATTTAGTTTTGATGAAAATTCTTGACAACACACTCAAAAACCTCAGCTGTTGACCTGTCTTCGTATACATTTTAAAACTAGTACTAAGAATTTAAAACCCTATAGATAATGCTAAATTATGCAGACAATGTATGTTTGTAGAATAATTCATATCAGCGTCGGGACTTTGTGTAAACTTGTAGCAGTAATCCACCACCTATTTAGTCGACAGACCGTGGGAAGGACTTTCTGTATTTTAAAAGAAGAAAATGGAAAAAAAACATTAGGAGGAACTTACAACAGTGAAGTATAAGTAGTAATAGAGATTTCTGAAGTGGCAGCTCCCCTGGTGTTGTGAGCCAGAAATGAAATGCTATTTTGGCCGGTTGCAGGAATGATGCTGCCAAGAAATGAGGGACATAAACCGTGAGGATCTGCCGCTGCCAAGAGCCACACTGCAGCTACAAGTGAATATTTATGGTCCTGTGTTTGCTAGAATTCCATCTAAAGCCATCTTATTTCATACTGCTGGCTGACACTTCGTGTCACTTTAAACTGCACTGCAATGGATTATCCATAATCAATTTCTATTGAAAAATAACATTTAAAAGGCTGCAATGCACACCTTCTTTTTCTATAGCGCTAGCTTGAAGTTGATCATGAGCTCAACTATATTCATTTAGAATAAAATACAAAAGCAAGTTTACTTAAATACTCCAGGCGTGAATAATAATTCTAACACCTAACACTTAATGACCATTACAGATACATCCTTCCATCCATCCACCCGTCTGTCCATTCATCTGTCCATCCATCCATCCTTTTTTTGAAACCACTTTTCCTATTCAGGGTCGCGGGCCATTGTAGTATATCAAATACAAATATATTGTACTGTTACAGTTTTAAAAATCAAGTACAATAAAGACCACTTTGAAAATGGAAACATTTTTGCCATGAAAAGTTGTAGGGAGAACAAATAAACCAAAACATTAGAACTATTTCTTACTAATTAAGATTTTGGTGATTGTTATCATTTACTTTTTGTTTTAATTTTGCTGGTAATAATATAATTATGTGCATATGTTTATCTACTTCCAATAGTTAAATATGTAAAAAAAAATGAAATATATAATCAGTTTACTTAACCAGAAAGTTAACTGTTTGCATGAGATTTTTGATACTAGGACATGCCTTAAGTTAATGGTTGATATTCCAGGAGTGTTTCTTGCTATTTCCTATATTGTGGTTCAAAGGCTTACTGAACAACTACGCCAAAACTCCTTAAATGGGCAGATATATATAAGAAAACAAAGGGTATAGTGTCTTTATAACTTATGTGTTTATATAGGCTACAATATACTGTCAGAAAAAAAGGTACAGAGTCAATTTCTGTACCTTAAAAGATACATTTGCCTACAATTGTCAGACCCTTGAGGGTACAGCCCCAGTGACAAGTAATTGTATCCTCAAAGGTACAAATTGGTCCTTTTTCTGTACATGTTTATGAGCAACACAATCATACTGTGATAAACCACCCATGGTGGCTTGTAATAAACTGCCAGATACATTCAGTGTAAGAAAAGTTGAATTTTCCAAACCATAATGTCCGTTTGCCTTATCTCATAAACACATGCATAACTGCATAGAAAATATTACCCTGAAGTAGGCCTATATTGTGCTGTTTTAATTCCAAATGACATTTCAGATTCCCGTTTTGTGGGAGAAATCTTTTTTATATACACACTGCAATTCTTAGAAAACAAAAACAACTACGTAGTATGTCCACTACATACATTTAAATGCTTTATTTATTTTACACAAGGTTTATCTGTACAAATTAACATATATACATGAACACATATGAAACACATTCTATAAATATGAACAATCAGTCTTGATTCTGAAACAGACAACAGCCAAGGTCTAGGTCTATTGTTTACAGTAATACAGTGAATTACATTTTGCAGAAATCCAGGGCTGTCTAGTGATTCCTCAAGGAAAATGAATGTGCAATTAGTCAGTAACGAATCTTTAAATGCAAAATTCAGGCCAATTACTTAAATTTGTCATCTGTATTCTCTTCGGCTCTCTGAACTTGATGGCCCTCTTGCGTAGGGGCGTTACACACGTGCGATTCCCTTGCTGTCATCTTTGCCTTGAATTTCAGCGCCGGTCAAACTACTTAAATGTAAATATGTATCAAAATACTTCAAAATAGTTCAACACTGTACATTTTAAAAAACAAGCAAATAGACGTTAATGCACTAACTGCATAGCAGTGTCTGCAAAGACTTTCAAGCATTAAAAAAATGACAAGTGCGACTACGGCTGTATTCGTCATAAAACGGTAGTGTTCAAAAATGGTACATATTAAATAATGTAAGCATTTCCCCTGCAAAATACATCTTCAAAACGATTTGCTTCTTTAGACTCCAAAAATATAATTTTATCTCTATGTTACAGTCTTTGCTTAGGCAGAAAACGTAGAAGGCGATTCAGTTTGCCACTTTCCGTTGTCTTCACCGTAGATTCACTCAAATGCCCTTCGTTTGCTGGTGAAACATTCAATAAAAGATTAAACTGCGTTAAGCTGGATACCTATTCGGCTTTGGTTCTCAGTCTAAGGATATCGAAACATTATACAAGCGATAATTCTCAGTCAGAATTAAGTTCATGTCATTTACGAGGTGTGTTCATATAGGCTATTCATAGTTCAAAGTTTAACGAGATCTTAGACGCGTCTTCACTTAGGCAGGTATTACTGTAACCTATATGTTAGAATTTTATATTTTCCTAAATTTTATCAAAAACTACTTTGTCCCAAACTGTATATATTATGTTACAATTACTTTAACCAAAAAATAAAAAAGCAAAAATAGAAAGAATGTGAGCAGTCCGTAAGTTTATATGTAATACCCCCTGCAATTTTACACACCCGAAAAGACAATTTCCTTGTTCCAAGTTAAAGAACACGTTTATATTCGTTGAAATTATATAGTGTATAAAAACTCTATGCATATGAACTCATAAATGGTTTGTAACGTTCCTACATTCTTTAGAAAAAAAATAGAATTTAGATTTTGACTGTTTTACGAGTCACACTGTGTTTTACGCACACCGGCAACATGAGCTCATAAACATGACTGTACAAACTTTATGTATTTATATGAGGTTTGACTTGTTTAAGACAGATAATACATTCCATAAGTCACAGGTCCACCAAAAAGTCCGGGAACGGGCAAGGAAGGTCTTGGGTATGAATTAGAAGGTCCGTAAACTGATGGAGATCCTACGTGAGCACCAAGAGGAAAGGGAAAGGCAAAGGCAGGTACAAGGGGCTTTGTTGCGAGTTTAAACTTTTCCAGTTCGGCCTCCTGGAGTCTCTTGGCCTTAGCCCTCCTGTTCTGGAACCAGATTTTGACTTGTGTCTCCGTCAGATTAAGTGAATTGGAGAATTCTGCTCTTTCTGCTATGGAAAGGTACTGTTTCTGGCGAAACTTTCTCTCCAAAGAAAGCAACTGTGATGTCGTAAAAGGCGTACGAGGTTTTCTGTTGTTCTTGTGTTTCCTGAGGGGGCACGGAGATGGACTGGAATGTCCTGTTTAATAAAAACAAGAAACCTGTTATTGCGCAAATTCAAATCATTGTCATTGCTTTCTGTAATAAAAAGATTCTGAGTATCCATTCCAAATATTAAAAATGCCACTATATGCCCTGATATTACACTATAGATCAATGCCTTTTCTAGATAAAGGATTTGAAAGATGAATGAGTGTATTATCATTGCTATACGTCAGTTAAAATGAGGGCCAGAATATAGCCGTGTACAGTCCCAGGGGAACGCTGTTGATACTACCGATGAAAACTTAACAAAACATTAGCTCAAGGTACAGTATGTCAGCAAAATGATATTGTAAGTGAAGGTTGTGTTCTTCCTGTCAGATATTCACACAACCTTTTCAATCTTTATAAGTTTTAAGTTCCCAATATAGCCTATCCGTTATTGAACGGCAGTAGGAAAGTTAATTCTGTTATAACTGCAGAGCTTGCAGTTTACTAGCGTCATTAAAAACCTGCGAAGCATTTACTCGAACAATTTTACCAAAACTTACAAAGACAAGGAACTAATCATCATCATCTTCCTCATCGTCATCATCATCATCAATAACAACAACAACAACAACGGCAACAACGAAAACAAAATTCTAATAAAACGACTGTTATATTCTTATATGCCAATCGCTGTAATTATTTCATATTTTTTTAAAAATGCAAAACTACCCAGCAAAATCTAGGCTATACTTCAGCGCTAATGACAGGGCAAACTGAACTTACTAGGCGAAGCGGAATAGGACGAAGTCTCGATCCAGGGTCTCTGATCCTTTTCGTTAACTTCTTCATTTTCATTTCTGGTGCACTCCGACAAACTTGCAAAACCGTCCACAGATATGTTACTCCCTGTATATATTGTCCTCGGAAGATTTTGTTTAGTTGGTTCCGCGCCAGGCTTAGATACACCCAAATCTGCGTCAAAGGAAGAATATTGCGCCCTGCAGGTCGTTCTGTGAGAAATAAGCGATTCCACACTAAAAGGAAGACTAAAGGTTTTACTTTTACATCCTTTGGAAAACTTGTCTTTTGGTTTAATGTCTTCCTTCTCAGAATTTCCTTTCTCTTGGAGATTTAGCTCTTGGGATGGAGACCCCTGAACAGGATTCATATTACAAGAGTATGGGGCCATACAACTTTAATTGAACTGACAGTCCTGAACTGCGCCCGTGTTTCCTCAACTTCTCGGAACAGCGGTTAGCAAGATTCTTTGCATCTGGTTTAGTTTCAGCTTTTAAAGCGTCGCAGTGCCTGTTATCTCGCCGCCTTCCAATCAGCTGGTTAACTTTGGCTGATGACGTGGCCGGAGTTTCATTTGATTGGCTAATTATCGTCTCAAACACATCAAGGGAGATACGGAAAAAAGAGGAGTAATCTTAGACGGCTTGCTGAAGATGTTTGTTGATAGCTAGGGGGCTGAAGTCGTATAGGAACATAGTCTCTAGACCAGTTTTGGAATAATTAACCAGTAGGGCAGACCCGTTTTTCTCATTAGTTGAACCCACACAGATGATTTACAGTAAAAACATCACTTGAGGGTTTTCATTAAAAAAGACAGTTGTCTGATTAACAACCATTGCCTATTTCAATTCAGTTTTTAGATTCCATATCGAAATACGCTAGTTTTAAAACTAATACAGCAAGCAAAAAGTTGGCTAAACAAACATGTAAGGTATAAATCTACACCAATTTAAATGACACTAGTTAAAGTAATCAGTCATTAACTCGTAAATGGGATTTAACTGGCAATGACAGTCTATCACACAATATTACAGCCATTTAAGGCTTTTCTTGGTCCTTATAATGGCACAGCTAAGTGAAAAGCAACAGGCAATTGCTCACTAAAAGCTTTAAGTACACCAGACAAGTTATGGTTTGGACGGCGCCAGTGTCGGCAGGATGAAAAAGGAAGCTACCCCGGGGCAAAAATCCAAATAAGCAATTGTCTTAACAAACAAAACAACAAGCAAAAGAAGACATTTTTCACTGACGTGGAATATCAAATAAAGTTACCAACTATTTTTAGTTCTTCTTTTTTTATTTTTAAATATAGAATTTTAGTGCATGTCAGCTGATACATGCAATTTGATTTCTTTTTTGCTCCGTGTTTAAGAAAACACTACACCCCGCTGCGGGGAGGTTGACTAGTCGTTCCAGTTTTACGTAACTGTAGTCTGTTCAAAAGCATTTTTATATTTCATCCTCAGAAATGTACGACGCATCTATACACATGAAGGCGAGATGCGCAACATCAAGAGAAAATTCAGTGATAGGCCTATCCTTACAGTAAGAGAGCATTCCCATCGCGCCAAAACTCTGCTAACACACGCCTCGCATTAATATTACGCTTTTTATAATTTAGAAAAGTTGTCACGTTATGAATTAATTCAGATTAATCAATGGCTACTAAATCGTGTAGCACTGAGACAGGTATTTCGCAGAATTTAAGAAGTGCCCTCAAATATTTTAAAGCTCATTTTTACATAATTTAAATTCATTGAGATATGATTATATGTCTTCCTGGACGATGTTGTCTGTTCTCGAAGGAGGACCGGATTTATTTACTAATGAGGGGGGTGTACAGGAAAGTAAGTTACAGGACAGCTAAATACCATAGCTTACTTTAAACAATAAATACTATAAATACTATGCAGTATACTATATTATAGAGAGTCTGATGAACGATAATAAGCACCGCATTATGGAAGATTAATATATCATATAAATATAGGCTACGCAATAGAAAAAAAATCCTGTAAGCCCATAGCCTTGATAACGGGCAATTTTCGTTTGGGTTAAACGAGAATTGTCTATTCCGGAATTTAAACTACAGCTTTTAATATTTATTTTTTGTTTCCCGTTCCTATTTTTAAATCATGCTCCTCTAAAAGGTTGGCATGACTTCTTCTTAGGACACTGCATCCGTAACTTCCACAGTCTGATGGCCAGTTATGCTTTACCGGTTTCTTAATATAAGCAAAGGGCAACCACAAAAAACCGAGTAATATGTAGTTTGTTAAAAAAAAAAAAAAAAAACAAGAACACATCATATGTAGTTTAATCGAAGGCCAATTTATAATTTAACCATTAAACAATGTATTCTCTTATATTCTCACATTCTAATAAAGCATGCATTGTATATTGCCGTTAATATTGCAAAAGTAACAGCAGAAGAAAGAAAAATGGTGCAGTGGGAAAGTTAAGAACTTTATAATTCACTCTTCCGTGGAATCCTGTTGCGCTCTCTCAACTCAGAATGAAGCCTGACATTCAGTAACTGGCTTTGTTGTAAAAAAAGACAGCACAGTCTCAGGCATCTATAACACGGGAGGAGTGTCATTATATATTACACAGTAAAACAACACAAACAACACGTCTTTATGCTTTTATTTGCACTTACATAACTTTTGATATAGCTAGTACACAGGATTGTAGTACAAGCAACAGCCTTTTGTAAGTGCATTCAAAAATTCAACAACGATGTCGTTAAATGCGCTTTAAATGACTGTTTCATTAAACGCAATTTAATTTGGCTTCATCTGTTAAAAATGCAAGTTCAAAATGATTTTCTCGTGATGTCTCCACTATATATATTAAACAAAAATTCAATAGTGGCCATTTAAATAATAATCTTGGATTTTCCCAATAAATTCACATAATCTGTGGTTAGATTGAATTGCCGTTTGATCTTTTCCACTAATGAGTTCTTTTTTTTTGTTGTTGTTGATGTGGATATATGCACGGTCGAACAGAAGGAAAATATAATTTTGCTTTCATAATATGAGTAGATTAAACCAAAGCGTATTTTTGTCTTCAACATAAGTAGTAATTCCTAAGAGCGTTTTGGTTTTAATCTCTAGATTTTTACAGTGATGTCTGGGTGGAAAAAAATAATAATTGGATGCACCTTTTTCAAGTTTCCTGTTCTTTTTTTTCACTAATTCACGCGATGTTTTTTTTTTTTTTTTTTTACCCGTATAGGCCGCTATCAGCGCATTTTTAACTAAAGATACAGATGCCTGTAATGTCATCAGTTTAATTAGCTCACAAATGAATGTATACATATAAAATATACATTGTATATAAATATAAAAAGGACTTGGTCATTCATCAGAACACTTTTCATCCTTAAAAATGTTTTATTTGTACATTAATTTTTTGAGAGTGAAACCAATAGATTATTACTTTTATAATGGGGGTTATTAAATAAATATGTATTTTTAAACAAATTAAATATTAACAATCTAGTATCAAGACAAATTGCCAGTCATTCATGATGATGCTCCGAAATTCAACAGGGATGTTTAGAGGTTATAGTGATGTCCAGGGCCTGTCTGTGTGTTTAGTGATGGGACGGAGTCAGTCATTCATGACCAATCTGAAAGCAGGCTGTGTGCTATTGTGGAGGTTGTGGTTTTATAATGATCCCTGGGTTTATCAGGACGTCAATGTAGTTTCATAATGCAAGCCCCCCAAAAAAAAAAAACAAAAAAAAAACTCGAATTGAACTGCAAGTTATCAAGCCACCATTTTCATAATGAGAAGAGGCCACCTTATTCACTGCACTTGTTTCCCGTCGTTCATTTTCAGTTTGTAGCCACAATTCTAGCATTGTATCATATAGCAGGTTTCTCATTTACAGACATTTTTTTTTCAGCATTCATGCAATGCTCTTTTTGTGAACATATCTTACTAATTCAGTGGGCAGATAGACTTTAACTATTGCATTGGCAGTTTGTTCTTATAATGCAGTAAAACATTTCAAAGTAACAAGTCATCTAGTTCGGAGAACCCCCAGTTTAGCCATCAAATGCAGTAGCTACATTGTCTCAACATTAACATTTTTGGATGGGTTCTTTTCTTCAATAACTGATTTTCATTTTATAACCCCATATTTTCGTTTCTAATTTGTTTTTTAGAGTGATACTATCAGGAGAACTGCAATTTCCACAGGCAGATGAAAAGAAAAATGCAACGGAACGTAACACCAATTTTAAGGAACATACTCATAAGGAACATACATATAATGCTGTGATCTGTTTGCAGAAACCCTTATATGTGAAATTTATATGAGGCCATACCAGTGCCAATTCACAGCAAGATATATTGGATATGACAGCGAAAATATTTATGAGAAATATTAAAATCATCAAAAAATTATTCCGAGAGCAGTTTACGTGCTATTTTATTGACTTAATATTATTTTACAAGGGTATTACACTTGAATTTTGAAATGTAGTCAGTTGCAGAGTGCTGTTACTATGTTAGATTTTATTTCCTTTACAGTGGACCGACCCCTTTTGCATGATTTCTCCACAGGCCATTGGCCCCCTTCTGTGGGGACCTGACGGCTTCCAGGATCTTAGGGCTTTGCTTACTTGTCCCACTCTACACAGCCCCTCAGGCCAAGAAAGACCTTAGCTTTGCTCAGTGGTAGTGAACCTCTGTGTGCATGAGCCCTTCCGTTGGGGTGTTGGCATGGGAAATGTATGGGTGGGTCCTCCACAAGCAGTCAACTGCCTCTCAAATTGGGGACATATTATTCTGTTTAATTCTAGCATGAAAGAAAGGAACAGAAAAAAATAGGGATTATCCATGGTAGCATCGAGGTGGAAATACAGTAGGTCATTAATAATTGTTCCCTCTGGTAGATCAGGTGAAATATATAAAAGCAAAGTCAATCTATTTGTTCTTCACATATATAAATCAGGCATCATATCATATAGCATGGATAAGGCCTACACAGTTCATGGCAGATGGCAGATGACAGACAGACAGACAGACAGACAGACAGATAGATAGATAGATAGATAGATACAGTAATTTTATTGATCCCAAAGGAAATTTCAGGGTGTTACTGCACCAAACAAATTCAACAAAAATAACCCACAAAATAAAACTCCTAGTTCCACAACTCCTATGCTTTGTGCGGGAAGTTAAAATATCAAGTAGTTTTTTTCCCAGCATAAAATATTCTTGTGTATATTCAACTATTACATGCTGTGTGTACAGCATTTACATGCCATTCTCATTACAGGACAGGTCACATGGAACCTAAAAAGAAAAATGTTTTTGAAGACTGTTTTGAAGCCATTTTGCAGTATTTGTGCTGCATTCAAATTAATATACGAAGCATATTGCATCCATTTTTGTAATGTACATTGCATATATATATATATATATATATGTGTGTGTGTGTG